ATGTACATGGTGATGCATGTATGGATAGCGGTGAGAATTAATTAAGTAGATTGTTCACGTGATTCGCGCGGATTTATCTCTCAAAAAATTCATGCGGGCTCAATATTAGTCCGGTAAAGTTGGGATCACGTCATGCCAACAATAAAAAATGATAATGGATCGGAGGAGACACTTTTTTGAACTCTGAATGGAAAAAATAGCAGAAATTTTGGGTTAGTAGCATATAAGCGAAGAACGGCGATTGATGCCACGCCATATTAATTTTAAGTTGTACGATCGAGTTACACAAGTCCTATTTTTGGAAGTGAGCCATGAATTGGTCTTATTTGGAAAAATTTCCCTAGATTATTTTACAAACTATTTCTCCTTTTGCTGACTCATAATAATAATAATAATAATGTTTTTTTATTATAGCCATCAATATAATCAGCTCCGTTAGACTAAATTAGTCTTTCATTATTCTCCTATATAAGAAACAAAACTATGACACCATATCATATAATCTCTTCTCCATCTGCTTTAGTTATGCGCTCCACGTTAACCAGAGGTTAGCTTCTAGCTTCTTCACTTTGATTTATATGTATATAATCGAAGATGGGTGTTTAGGTTTGAATTGTGTGCTGAGATTTGATAGGTAGTTGAATTGTATATTTTTGCATTTTATTTTTGCTTTATCACAGTTTGTTTTTAGTGTCGAGATCTGTAGCTTAACATTTATCAGGTTGTGTTAGTACGCTAGAAAAAGCATATTGTTTGTTTGTGCGTGTGTGTATGAATGTACATATACCGTGTTCTGTAGTTGCCTTCTGGCCAAAAGTGTGCTTGGTTTGTTCTGTTTTGTCAACGACAGAGAGACAAGTTTTACCCCATGATCCCATGAATCTCCATGAACAGTGATGGACCCGGGCCGGGCCTTGGCCCGGTCGGGCCTCGGGTTAGTTAGAGGTAGGCCCGGGACCGGCCCGGGCTATGGCCGGTTCCGGTTCGGGCCGGGTCACCTGCCCGGGTCACGGGTCGGGCCACCCGCCGGGCCAGGCCGGGTCATTTTTTTTTTAATTATACATTATACAATTTTTTTAATGGGAATACTAATTAACTAGTATAATGAAAAATGTAAGTAGTAACAATTAATGAGAATACTAATTAACTAGTACAATGAAAAATGTAACAAGAATACTAATTAACTAATTAACTAGTATAATGAAAAATGTAACAAGAATACTAATTAACTAATTAACTAGTATAATGAATAATGTAACAATTAATGGGAATACTAATTAACTAATTAACTAGTATAATGAAAAATGTAACCAGAATACTAATTAACTAATTAACTAGTATAATGAAAAATGTAACAATTAGTGGGAATACTAATTAACTAGTATAATGAAAAATGTAACAATTAATGAGAATACTAATTAACTAGTATAATGAAAAATGTAACAAGAATACTAATTAACTAATTAACTAGTATAATGAACAATGTAACAATTAGTGGGAATACTAATTAACTAATCAAGTAATGTTAATACAAAATGTAAGTAATAAGACAAATGTATGAATGTGCATAGTAATTCATGGGAGTAAATGAGTAATAGAATGATTTTAAGTGATATTAATTAAAGTGTAACTAATATATAATATATTATTTATAGTATATAATATATAAGTATACTACTATAAGATGAGTAATACACTTATATTTAATACTTTAATATATAAACTATATATTAAGTAGATGTAGAATGTATGTATTAAGTAGATATAAGTAGATAATTAATATATAAGTAGATATAATAATTTTATAAGAACTAAATAGTAAAGTATAATGGAGAGTGGAGAATAAGAAAATAAGTGGATATGAAATATAAGTCGAGAAGTGGATATTATTATATACTAATAGTTTATAAAGTATATTTAATACTTTAATATATAAAGTATATATTAAGTAGATGTAGTATGTATGTATGTATTAAGTAGATATAAGTAGATAATAAGTAGATAAGAAATATAAGTAATATAGTATATGTATTTACAAGTAGATAATTAATATAATAGTAGATATAATAATTGTATAAGTATTAAATAGTAAAATAAAATATAATGGAGAATAAGAGAATTTGAGAAGATGAATATGGAGATGAGTAGAGAGTAGTATTTAGGAAGAGTTGGAGAAGAGGTGTCAAAAAATGTTTAAAATTAGGAGTATTTATAGGGTTTTTTTAACCCCCCACCCCACCCCCCACCCCAACCCCACCCCCTAGAAGCCCCGGACCCCCCCGGTACCCACCCAACGGCTATATAGCCGTTTGGGAAGTGGGTCAACAGCCAAAAGGCTTTTTACAAAAAAATGGATTTTTTTTAAAAAATTTAGCCGTTAGGCCCGGACCTGGGCCCAACCCGGCCGGATCGCCAAAATCAAGCCCCGAGCTTGGACTGTAACACCCCCAAATTTCCCACCCAAAAATAATACTTTATTCAAAAGAAGTATCAACTTTATTTGAAAACATCAGAGTTATGCAGCGGAAAACCAAAAGGGAAATAGGGGCACTACCGCCACACTCGGCTCTAACCTAACCGAGTGCACAGGCTAATCACCACCGAAACAATTAAACTCAATAAGTGTCTTGAAAATTTAATTAAACTACAATGTTATCTACTAATTACATTTTCTCTAGTGGAAGTCTCTCGAAATCAACATCATCAGCAAAGCATTACCTGTACAAAATCAAGTATAGAAAGAAAAGCAAAAGAAAACAAAAATTAGCAACAATGCTAAGTAAGTTCCACCTAACCCCATAAAAAAAATTAATTTGATACTTGTTAAATTTTAGTAAAACATTTTGGAAGAAAAATCTTTTAAAAACAATTAATATAAATCGTAAGTAAAACAATATTTATAAAATATTCTCATACCATAATTCACTAGTAAAATATTAGTACTTCAAATATAGATAAGTATTTCCAAACCACAATAATTACAAAAACACCAAAAGATACCAATATACGTAAAGTACCAAAAATCATTCTCAAAATACTTCCAAGTACTCATAATCAAACCGAATCAAATCCAAAAGTATTTGTAATTTGAAATTACACAATAACTTAATAATTCAATCCAACTCGAGTTAAATACAAATATAATCCATTTCAATCATTCCAATCAATCCAATAATTCAAATCCACCACAATCCAATCAAATAATATTCACCTCAAGTCCAAATCAAGCCAATCAAATAATCTCAATTACCTCAATCCAATCAAAGTACAGTTCACCTCAAAACCAATCAAAGTCCAGTGGAAGCCGAACTCCTACCTTAAGTGTGCACACCCCCTAAAAGGGATTCCAAGCCCTCTGGGAAGTAAGAAGCCCGAGTAGTCGGGATTTTTCTACCAACTACACTACAATTAAGCTGGGATATTCCGCTTTTGGGGAGTACCCCTGGTGGATTTAGACTTATAGTCATTACCACTCACCAAATTCCACATTTATCCGGATGTGGCAAACCGACACCACAGATTTCTCTGGGTGCTCACCAAAATCACAATTCAATCTCAATCAAAACGGATATGAAATCCAAACTCCACAAAATCACCCACAATGTAAAATATTAACTCCAACAAACTACTCTCAAAATAGCCAAAATATAGAATACTTCATAAATAGCTCAAATATCAAATATAATCCCAACAACAATTCATATGATAACTCAAATACTCAAAATATCATCCATTACCCAATACTCAAATCACAAATATAATTCTCAACAATAATTCCAAATACGCAAATACGAAGTATAAATGTATTGCTAGAAATCTCACAAAGTACTCAAATAATTTCAAATAAATAATCATATATAGATTTACGAGGAAGAGTATAATTTTGGGTTGACGTAGAACTTACCTCAAATCGCAATAGCTCCTAACCGTAGCTTCTGCCTCAATCTTCTCGAAATTCACCTTCTAAGAATATTAAAATTCTAAAATCAAAATCTTCTTCGAACTATAATTTATTCTGTTAATAGCCACCCACTTTGTTCTATTGAACGACCTAACACAATGTACTCATTTAATCTATTCTTATTAATACATTTACCTTAGAATATATAGTCCGATCAAGTCAATTGATTTTTATTAAAAATGTTATCTCATTCGGGCAGTCCACTAATGCAGATTCTCAATGCGAAGTTTACAAGACTCCAGCCCAAAGGTATAAAACTTACGTAGTATTACGTTTGCTTCGTTTGTCATCTACGTGAATCAGCACCAGTGTAGTTGGCTGCGGTGTTCAGATTACATTGATTTTACTTTTCACTTTTTTGTTAAAATTTCACTATTCTTTTAAAATTTTATCTCATTAATTAATGAATTAATTATTTTATTTTATGTAAATTTTCGCAGTGTCACACGGACCCCCCCCCCCCACCGGTTCAGGCACTGAACCGGACCCGGACCCGAGAACCGGGCCGGTTCCGGGCCCACACAGTAGCGGGCCGGGCCGGTTCAAAGGGCCGGGCGGCCTGAACCGAGTCCAAGACTATCCATGAATGTGTGAAAATTGGGTGAGAAAATTGAGTTGTCACTAAAGTAGTCACTCATATTGTGAAGTGCCAATTGGTGGTGCCTAATTAATTGTCACTCCATTGTATTGGTGAATAATTTAGTCACTTTAAAAATAGGTGAAAAACTAAGTGCCAATTTTAGTAATTCCGTTACCTCTAATGACCACGTTTTGAGAGACGGTTAATTGTTTGTCACCTTGTTTGTCACTAAACTAATGTAGTGAGTATAATTTGCTCTTAAATGTAAAAAATAAATAAATTTATATATTTTACATTATATTTAGCAATTCATAATTAAAATTAAGACGTGTCAATAGTTGTCCAAAAAAATTTAAAATTAATTTTCATGATTAAAATTGAAATTACGTATAACAAACTAAAGAAAATCTCAATCAAAGTAGCTAAATATCAATGAACACGTACACTTTGAAGACTACGTAATTGAATCAAGCATATATTATACTCCGTATTAAATATATGTCTCCAGCCATAAAAAACAAATTGTTTTAACAATTACAAATATACAATAATTCAAAGCTGCATAAATGAAAAGAAAAAAATATATCTAAAACTAATTTCTAGACGGTGGCGACAACATTGATGAGCCAAAATTCATCCAGTCGGTAAAACTCATTGCGCCATTTTGAAAAGACTGCCCTTGTGGTGCCATTTGTGAGAACGGGAATTGTTGGAAAGGAAATATGGAAGTACTTGGAGCTAGAGTACTTTGAGTAGGAAGTCCGGAGTTTTGCAAGGCCAAAGAGTTACGATACTCAGCAAAACGAGCCATCCATGTCCTATCATTTTCTTCAATAGCTGCTCGAACTACAGTTTGCACCGAGGCTTCTATGCACTCCCGAACGCTAGTAGTAAGTGCCACTTTGATGCGATTATCAATGAGTTCCTCTAAATTCTCACAATGTATGGAGGAGGTAGATGTGTCGCCTCGAAATTTGGTTTGAACCTCGCTAGAAAGACTCCCTAACCCCAAAATCTTACCACATTGGGGAGGTCCAAAATGCTCCATAAAAATTTCATCCTCGTCTATAGGTTGTGATTCATCATTGACCTCATCTCTTGCTTTTTGTCTAGCAGCTATAAAATTTTCCTAACACAAAAAATATTTAGCAGATCATATAAACCAACTATTAGCAAAATTCGTATGCATATACAATAAATAAAATACTAAATATCTATTTAACTATCTTACATAGCATGCCTGTATCCTCGGCCCACTCCATTCACGAGTTTTTTTCCTCTTCCATGTGACACCATACAACTCTCGCATGAAAATCCTCCTACCAAGTATTTTCCTCTTTGGAAAATAACAACATTAGTAAATGAATAAATCCTAAGTTTGTATATAGCTATAAATAGTAAGGGAAAAAATACCAATCTTTTCTTATGATCAGCAGTAGTGATTGACCCTCCACAGTATGGGTTGTTTTTGCATGATTCTGATGATCGAGCTTTTTTTCCCTTAGCGCTAAGCTTTTTGAACTCCGGAGAGGCCCAATATGTCTGGAGATCTTTAAAATCATTCTCAGCGATATATTCTGGTGGCACATTTTCCTCTCGTGCTGTTTGCAACATTTTCTTGAGACCTTGGCTACCATATTTGTCAAAAAGCTTTCTGAATTTCTTTTTTGCCGAGTCCGCAAATGGATGAGTCAACTGCAAATACATAGCAACTTTAAATTACTCCTAACAACTAAAGAGATCATAAAGTTCATAAAAAATTAAACGTGATATAATTTAATTGAGTTACCCTGAATTCATCAAACCAGTGATCTCTCTCTGTTTCAGGCACGTTCCGATATGACCTCCAAGGGCCGCTAAAGCGAGATTTCATGATCGCCTTAATTTCTGTATGCGTTTTGCGGCTTTTTAATAATAAAAAACAGAGAAAAATAATATGTTAGAAATAAGTGGTTCAAGTAACATACTATTAAGTATTAACCATGACTATATAGAAACATATAAACTAACCAATGCATTTCGTGCAAGGGAAATGGTGTGACGTCCGTCTCTTGGGGTTGCTCCCCATTTGATGAATGCGGTGATGTAGGAGTACTTGGGACAAGAGGTCTACTTCCCTCTCCACTTGAATATTGACTTCCAACCATAGGACTTGAGGGTGAAGATAAGCTACTCCTATCTCTACCTCTACTTTGAGGTGCACGACTCTCCCGTGCACACAAAGCACGTCCTCCACGTGTCCGCATCTTTTGTTTAGTAAAATTATCTTCAACGTATTATCAAGATTAAATAGTTATAAAGCATCACTACTAATTACTAAACAGATTGGATGAAACACCCAACACTCATATTAATTTCCAAGCATATCAATTCGTAAAAAGAACACAAACTAAACGATTAGTTTCTAAACAACTATCTACATAACATAACTAAATAACAAAGAGATGAATTATATAACTAAACAGATTTTCGTTTGATACAATTATTTAACCAATCAAACTGAATAAAAATGCACTAAATATACAAACAAGGCAATTATGTAGATGTCATATCATGCTATATTGCTATAATGAAGTACTCAGGATTGATCCTATGTGATAACGAGGTTCTCTACTCCTTTTAATAATTTAGCCATAATATACAAACAACAGGGTAATTATGTAGATGCCATATCATGCTATAAAGAAGTGCTAATAACTAATAAAGCAATTACTTTGTCCTCACTTGGTCACTACGCATTAAACCACAAAATAAAAATAACGAAATAGGGTCATATATATGGATTTGGAAATTACAGATTTGGAATGGGAACTTACGAATTAGAATTGAAAAAGAGAATTAGTAATACGGATTTGGAAATTACAGATTTGGAATTAGAACTTACGAATTAGAATTAAAAAAGAGAATTAGTAATACGTTTCCTATGAGGCTCTGCTCCTAGGAATTACCAATCCCTGGCCGGCTCCCCCAAGAAAATTTCAACTATTCAATTTCATGTGCCTGGGTCAACTCCATCAAAAGCTGGCTATGCTAAACTCAATTTAACTTTAGAATAAGTGTGCGTACATTACCTGGATGATTAATTAGCAGATGGTGGAAGATTGAGACCAGTAGTAGATAGCATGATGGAGCAAGGATTCCGGCTTCGTTTGAAATTTATCGTAACTTCCTGCTCTGCGTATTCAATTCATAGCTCTTTTCGCTTTTCTCTGGAGGTTGTGCGGTAAAGAGTGTGTTGTGCGCGCCAAAATTTTAGGATATTACTAATTAGTGGGAGCAGTGGTTGTATTTTAGTGGGAAATGGCAGGGAGTGGTGAAAGTAAATAGAAGGGATAATAAAATAATTAATCAAACAAGTTAGTCTTTTTATTTACATTTTCATTCTTATCCTAAATATTCCGTACAAGATTTTAGTTTTGACATTATTTTTTTAAATTAATGAATGAAATTTAATACGAAGTAATAATTAGACCAATGATGTTTTTAATTGGACTGAAATTTTATAATCCGGTCTGATCTAGTCTGATTTGATATGACCTGAACTGATTTGGTCTGGTTTGATCTCAGTTATCTGATTTCTGTATACTTTATAACTGTCTAAGTCTGGTCTGCTCTGGTTTAATCTGGTTTGGCCTGGTTTTGGACTGAAAAAAATCCAAGTAAAAAGCATTTAGAGTTTATTTAATTATCACATATTCACTGTACGGATTTATAGAATTTCTAAATTTTTACCTATTCAATAAAATAAAATTATAAGCGTAATTTTTGAAATGTTAACATTTTTTTTATCTAGTTTAGCTGAATTAGCGCATGACTAAGAACCCAATCTGGCCTGATCTCGTTTTGTGTAATCTTTTTGGTCTAATTGAAAAGATTAATCAAAGTTGGGTCCCTTTTAAAATTTAACATAAAATCAAAGTATATTGTTTAATACTCCGTACTTTTTATATAGCTCATTGAATAATATATTAATCAAAGTCGAGTCAAATGATGATGTGTTTAAGTCTTGTTTAATCCATTCAAATTTAGTTAAATGATCTGTTTAACTAGTCTAGACCTGAAGTACATTCAAATCAAAACATTCAAGTGTAATTCGGTGTGATTGTGGTTGGGACTGAAATAATTTAAAAGAAAAATCTAAGTATTTATTTATTAATTTGAGTCAGATTATAAAATAAACTCAGCATCTGATTAACAACTATAAATAGAAGGCGAACTAAATGGAGTATGGCTTTCATAATTTCAAGCGTGAAAGAATAACAAACATATATATATATATATATATATATATATATATATATATATATATATATATATATATATATAGAATAGCTACTCCAAATTTATAGTGAAAAATAACTAATAAAATCCTTCATCTTCAACTTCAACTTCCACATCTTCACTTTCATCAGAACCATTACCTTCATCCCGATCGGAATCTTCTTGACCCGCGTTAGTTGGCTCAATGGCATCCTCAGGATCAACATGTAACTCAATGCCACTGGGATCACGTAAAGGAGGCATAGTCTCAATCGGCTCGATTTGGGGCACTGCATCTGGTTCATTAGGCTGATATGCAAATTCATCTTCTTTTACATTTTCGATCAGTGTCCTTTTTGCACTTGTCTTGCATGCGCACAACCAATCACTTCCTTTTCTCATAGATGGATAGCTTGCATAGTAAACTTGTGCGGCTTGTTGGGCTAGAATAAATGGCTCATTCACTTTGTACTTGTACTTAAAATTAACATCTACAATGTTGTACTTGTGATGTTTTCTTACCCCCCTGATAGGATCAATCCATGAACATTTAAATAAGACAACATGTAATCCAAGTGGGCCAGGATAGTCAAGCTGGATAATATCCTCAAGAGAGCCATACCAATCGGTATCAGAATTGGCGTAATTGGAAGAGCGAACACACACACCACTATTGTATGTTGCTTTATTCAATCCCCTTTCAACAGTATGATAATTATACCCATTAATGAAATACATAGGCCAAGTAGTTGCACGAGATTTTGGGCCCCAAGCCAGAGAAGATAAAAGTGGATCACTAATACCATTAACAGGAGAATGTACCTAAAACAAAATATATGTATATTTCATTATCAAATGACAACCAAGGAACAATGTATCAAAATAGGTCCGTCAACTTACAAAATCTTTGAACCATTGTGCGAATTGAGAAGATATCAATTTATCGAGTTCACTCTCATCTTGACCTTGAAAGTTTTCAATAAATTGCCTGTTCATGATATTACAACTTAGACCTCTTGAAGTATAAAATATTAAAAGGAAAATAAAAGAGTTATTATGATTTTTTTTTACCTTAAATATGGATCTACTTCAGGGCAGTTCACTAATACATATGTTTGAGCGATTTGTAACTCCTCCCCAACGACAAACCGATGATGCTCTTTTCCAGATCCTCGACCAGGATAGTTAAAAATTGAAAAAGCTCCCCTTGATCTTGCACCTCCGATGTCATCATTTCGCCCAACACGCCGCCGTTTGCATCTTACGTGACTCTCAAAGTAGTATGATGCAAATGTGGAAATCTCCTCCGTTATATACGCCTGACAAATAGATGCTTCAACGTGCGCTTTATTTTTCACTTTTTTCTTCAACTCTCGAAGGAATCTACAATACAAAATACACATTAAATACGTTAGTTTGCACAAAAAGTTTGAATATATATATATATAATCTTATAAATAAATTTTAATAAATACCTTTCAAAAACGTACATCCATCTGTATTGTGCTGTACCAGCAACCTTGGCTTCATATGGCAAGTGAATAATGAGGTGTTCCATATGATCAAAAAATGCAGGAGGAAAAATCTTTTCCATATTACACATAAGTATAGGTACAGTCCTTTCAAGATCTTGTATAGCTTTGGTGTCAAGAACAACTGAACACAGTGTCTGGAATAACATGCTAATCTCGGTAAGGCAGCCCCAAACATGAGGCGGAAGCATCTCTCTGAATGCTATAGGTATCAGCCTTTGCATGAACACGTGACAATCATGACTCTTCATATGCATTAAGCGTGACTCGTCAAAGTTCACACATCTTTTTAAGTTTGACATGTATCCATCTGGAAATTGTAGGGACGTAATCCATTCCAGAATGCATTGGGCTTGCGTATGGGTAACTGTGTACACAGCTTTGTTTATAGGCCCCACAGAATCACTTTGAACCTCAATGCCAGGACGACTACAATACAAAGCAACATCTTTTCTTGACACCAAACCATCTTTTGTTTTACCCTTTACACCCATCACGGTATTAAAAATATTATCAAAAACGTTCTTCTCAGTATGCATCAAATCCAAGTTGTGCCTAATAAGTAGGTTTTTCCAATATGGAAGCTCCCAAAAAATGCTTTGTTTAGTCCATTTATGCTCTACTCCATACCCACTTGGTTTTTCATTGGGCTCTTCTATTGCCGATGGAATGGATCTGACACGCGCCCAAAGCTCTCTTCCATTCAGACGAGGTGGTGGTGCACTTCTCTCTATCTTATCTTTTAAAAAAGACATTTTATCCCTTCGGTAAGAGTGATTAAGAGGCAAGAACTTCCTATGACAGTCAAAGTGACATGGCTTTCTACTATACTTTAGATAAAAGGCACTTGTATTCTCCATGCATATAGGGCAACTCATTATCCCAGCCGTACTCCACCCAGAAAGCATACCATACGCAGGAAAGTCACTAATCGTCCATAGTACAGAAGCATGCAACCTAAATAATTCATTACGTGCGGCATCAAAAGTAACAACTCCTGTCTCCCACAACATCTTCAATTCATCAATTAATGGTTGCATGTAAACATCAATTTTTGTTTTAGGGTTATTTGGTCCAGGAATTATCAGCGTTAAAAACATATATGGACTTTTCATACACATGCCTGGTGGGAGATTGTAAGGAGTCAATATAACTGGCCAACATGAATAATTTTTACCATATTGTCCATGTGGTGCAAATCCATCAGTACATAACCCTAAACGAACATTGCGTGCCTCTTTAGCGAATCTAGGATATGTGGTATCAAAATGCTTCCATGCCGGTGAATCTGATGGATGACACATCATGTCTTCTTGTGACACGTGGTTCTTATGCCACGTCATTTCACTTGCAGTAACAACAGAAGCATATAGTCTTTGTAACCTTGGTGCAAGTGGCAAATATCGAAGAGTGGTTACGGCTGTCAACTTACGTGTTTCACCATCACCTATACCTTTCTGATTCTTGTATCTTTCTTCTCCACAGAACTTGCAATGGTGTAAGTCCTTGTCATCTTTCCAGAACAACATACAACCCGATCTGCAAGTGTCAATATGATGGACAGGGAGGCCTAAATCCGATACTAACTTTCTCATCGCATAAAAACTCTCTGGGATGGTGTTAGGGCCTTCATGAGCGTCTCTAAGCAATAACAAAAGTTCGGTCACACTAGTCTCTGACCAATTATGGTCAGCCTTGATGCTCATTAATCTCGACACAAATTGCAGCTGTGAGAACTTTGTACCACATCCATAAAGAGGTCGGTCCGCAGATTCAAGCACACGAAAAAAAAGATCTTGAGAGTCATTTGTGGTTGGTGTTGAAAATGACTCGCTGGGACCTTCATCACTCATGTTTGGAGAGCTATCATAATGCTCTGGAACATTATGCTGACCAATAGCATCGTTTACCATCCTTTGATCCCAATTCATATTCTCATAATCATTCCGTTGAGTGGGATCGTTGCGAGACATAGAGGCCAATAAATTCTCTCGTTCAACGAAGCGCTCGTGATGAATAGGTTCACCTTGTGATGTCCAGTTAAAATAATTTTCAATAAATCCATATTTGTACAGGTGCCATCGAACATCCTCTGGATCTTTATATGCCTTGTTTTTACAATTTTTACATGGACACCTTATTTTAGTACCATCCATATATGTCGGATTCGCACATGAAAATGTAATGAAATCCTCAACGCCACTTTCAAATTCATCAGACAAATCATTATTTTGTAAGTGGTCGTGATACATCCAACTCCTAGCACGTTTGTACATTGTAGCTGCAATACATATATTCTATGCTTAAATATCAATGAAAATTAACTCGCTAATAATTTTTTAAACTTTAATTTCATATTCTATTTGTAACACAACAATCTAAAATGCATATTTACAATCACAAGCGGATACGAGGTTGTAATTTATGATTATTGTTGTTGTTGTTGTTATATTATTATTATTATTATTATTATTATTATTATTATTATTATTATTATTATTATTATTATTATTATTATTATTATTATTATTATTATTATTATTATTATTATTATTATTATTATTATTATTATTATTATTATTATTATTATTATTATTATTATTATTATTATTATTATTATTATTATTATTATTATTTTTATTATTATTATTATTATTATTATTATTATTGTTATTATTATTATTATTATTATTATTATTATTATTATTATTATTATTGTTGTTGTTGTTGTTGTTGTTGTTATAATTATAATTATTATTATTATTATTATTTACTGTTATTATTATTACTATTACTATTATTAGTATTACTATTATTATTTAAAAAAAGTATTACTATTATTATTATTATTATTATTATTATCATTATTACTAAATGGCGATTTTAAGCATGTTGTTTATGATTTAAACATTTTAGCAGTCGAATTACATTTTTACAACAATAATACAAAGATACATATATCGATCAAAATGATATGATATTGATATGGTAACAATTTAATGAAACCAATATTATGGTATTTATTACACATGACACCATTCATTTTAATATAAATATTTAGTCTACTATATTCATATATCAAACATAACACCACATACACCTCTTTATTTAGTACTTTAAGTTAATTCTTAGGGATAATTAAGCTATATATAAGTATATTTTATACACAGGAATATTCCTGTGCAGCTGGTCCAGACAAGAGCCCCTTCCGGCCTCCGCCGTTTGGTGCGGTTCCCTGTGATATTTTTACTGAAATTGTTTTAGCATGTTCTTCATTATGTTTATATTAACCACACTAAAATTCAGCTAAAAATTCAATTGAGAAGACAGTTAAATGATTTTTGGAAGATAACTGTGTTTTATATGTATATTCTAGCTCAGTTATTTTCAAAATATCATTTGGCTGTCTTCTCAATCGAATTTTTAGCTAAAATTTGGTGTGGATAAACTCAGGATAAAAACAGCGGGAGCCGCCCCAAAAGGTGGAGGACGGACGGGGCTCCGGAAGATTACTCTTTTCTATATGTATATAAAGTAAGTCTTTTTAGTTTGCTGTACATAACCGACCCTATTATTTTCCTAATATAACTACATTATTTAATATTGAGATTATTTGCCAACCAAAATAAAATATTGACATTATTTGAAAAGTTGATTTAAATTAGTCTTATGTGGTAACAATTTTATACTACGTATGACATATCATTTTTGAAATTCTACATATTTTTAGATTGACATTTTCAAAAAAATTATTGAAAATGTAATGTTAAATGTCTATTCTCATCCTTTTTAATATTATGATTCACCAAACAACTACTTCATACTAATTATTTAAACTGTCAATAAATAAATAACATTAATTTAGCAAAAAGTTATATATTTTTAAGTCCGGATACTTTTTATTTCTCATCACATCAATTTTAAAAAAGTAAGTAAATAAATATTTAATAAACCAATACAATAAACATGCATTGTAACTGCTACGACATAAAAATTTATTTTGTACCTTTCAAAAGAAAAGTGGTTTCTCCGTATATAAGGAGACAACTATCTAATCATGCTATTATTATTACTCCTAAATTTTCATATTTAACCAACATTAGTATTTGAGTAATTTCAATTACATATGTTATATTGTAACTTATAATTACATTTAATTTAGCAGAGGAAAATTATTAAATGTAAAATGAAATTACAAAAACTAACATTTTATTAAAATTGTACAAACTGTGTGGAAACACTTACCGAATTGAATCGAATGATGGCGGAAATAGTGGAAGATTTCTTAACTTGAGTTCACATATCTTCTTTCTTAATCAACTTTAATCAACTTGAGGAGTTGATATTTGGACTGTATAATCCTCGCTTTCTTTTGTAGTGTAAACATCTAGAGTGCTTGAGTATGAAAAAAATGAAGTTGGAAGCTAAGGAGAAATCGCTTATGTAAAAGTGTAGGGATTAATGTAATATATATACACAAAATAAAATTTAAATGACCCTAAACTTGTGATAACGGATAAATTCGGCTAACTATACACTCAACTTGCGCACCGTAGAAATCTTCCACTGAAGAATCGGTCCTTCATTTTTTCTCACCAACTGCTTTATGTGATAAAAGTGGTGCCAATTTAGTCACTCTAATTCAAGTGACAAATATGGTGAGTACAGCCACTAGGGCTTTAGGTGCCTGCTTTTAGTGCCTAATTCAATCGTTTTTTGTAGTGGTACACACCTTTTATTAGAATTTCCTTTGTATACTTGCCCATTGAATTCATTGATAATTTAGTGTTTTATGCTAATTCGGAACCACTTTTCCGAATTAACAAAAAAATTAATTTTTGATAAGAAATTTTAATTTTTTAGTGTGATTCTGCATCAGAAACGTTTGATTTTGTGTTATTGTCATAATACATGTATAGATAAATTATACACACACAGATCTAGGTTCATGTGAAAACTTAATCTTAGGAGAGGAAAAAATAATAGATAACAACCGTTAGATCAAACCTAATAATAACTATACGATTTCTCTTAAAAGAGGTCTTTTATGTCTTTCCATTAGTGCTTATCTTTGGCAATCGGATACACTACTTCCCATCTAGAAAGATTATTTTCTTTCCTTAAATCATATAACCAACTCTCTCTTCAACCTTCTCTTTCCTTGGAACTTCTCCTACCACGTACAATCTGCTATCCATTTCTCTTATAGTTCTGAATATGAAGATCACAAAACTCATCCCAGAATTGTACATCAGACCAGAATTGTACATCCATTCTGATCGAATCACCTCTTGTTATCCACTATAATGAACAAGATTGCTGGCACTTCATTGATGTTTTATTATATCGTAGTCCGTGTAATAGCTTTAGATGATGTCGCAAATCAACCATTATATTTGTGTGAACGCAAAATATGAGATGGATTGCTAAATATACACTTACATAGAAAATGCATTTTTAAGAGATAAAGCGTGCATGTTAATGAGATAAAAAATGCATGTCAATGAGTTACAAAATGCATGTTAATGAGATAAAAAAAAATGCACATTAATGAGTTGAAAAGTGCATGTTAATAAGATAAAGTGTTCTTTACAAAAGTGCATGTTAATGTTACTTGATGCACTTAATTATATGCTCATGCATATTGCACTTCTACATTATTCATGGGTGTTGCATATTAATACCTGAAAGTGCAATAATGATAAAACAAACGTGCACTTCTACACTTACTGTATAAGTGCACTTCTTATTGGGAAAAAAATAGTCTAATGTTTATATAATTTAAGTAATCTCGACAAAAGTGATCAATTACAACATAAAAGTGCATCATGATTTTTTTTGAAAACGTATCATGAATTTTAATAAAATGCATAAAGTGATCCTTGATATACGAAATACATATTTACAATTCAAAAAAAAATTAACTTATAATGAATAACTAAACTAACAAAAGTGCAATTAAATTAGTTACTTGTAATAAGTACACATTGCACATAGATGATATTTTCTACAAATGCACTTTATCAAGAATGTCTTACACTTTGTATCACTTGGAAATGTAAATAATATTTTAATTTGAATTCCCAGTTACGTAACAGTAACACGTTTGTATTTTAAAAAATCTGGAAATCTAGTAATGGAAAATAAATAATATCTATTTATTATGGTATATGCATTAATGATCAATCTCTTTTTGGAAAGAAATGGATAACTGATAATGAGATTTTTAAGGGATGAATATTGATGCATCGTAAAGGTATATGAAAATTACATGACTGCCCTTTAATTATAATGGTGTTTCACGTTGCTATAATTAAAACCCACAATTCCGAAATTCTTGCTAACGTGACTCTCCATTTTGAAAAATTATTGGCCATCCGATTTGAATGGTTAATAGTTGGATTTTAATCTTTTTTGCTCTCCTAAGAGGGTGTTCTCACATGATCTAAAAAATATATCTGGTTGTGTAATTTTGCACCAGAGTATTTGATTGATTTTTAATTATGCAAGTTTGTGAAGTAATAATAAGAAGCTCTCAAAAATAAAAAAGATGTACTGTATTACATATACTAATTACATGAATTGGTTTTTTTTTGTTAGTGTTGATCATGGACAACTCGTTGCAAGCTAAGACGAAATTACAATGTGCATGGCAGCTTATATTGTTGCGTTAAATTTTAGAAACTTTCTACTCATTGTGTTTGCGATGTTAGAATATTATTGAGACACTTTTATTCTACGAAAGAGGAAGAGATGCCAAAAAGAAAGTGCTTATGAGAGGTATGAAATTTGACGTGTTCAAAGTTATTTGATTAAAGATTCTAAAATGAAGATAGAAAATAATACTCTAATAAAAAATATAGAAAGTTCTAATAAATATTTTAGGAAATGTTTCTTATTTAATTTTGAAACTAGACAAAGTACCCGTGCGATGCACGGGAATATATCTAAAATTGAATAATGACTTAATTAAAATTCTGTTTTATGGTGGTAGATAATGTGTAACTTTATCAAATATATAAAAGACGATAAAGTTTATGTGTTGTTACTTTTAGTAATTATATACAAAGTACGTAAGTAATAGTTGTAATAAAATGCAAAATTGGATAGTAAAAGTTCAAGTAAAATTAAAATAAACGATAATGTATAACCAATATCTCTATGCGACAATGAGATAACTTGATAGTACAAAAATTAGTGGGCCTCATGAGACTTTTCTTTGTTGTATTTTCTAGCATGTATTTTCTATAACGATAACATCACAGGCTGTACAAAATGGTGATTGACAATTCGCTAGCACATGTATTGGATTAGCGGTAAGCAGCAATGAATACTTTGGGACATTATTTAAAGAGAAAAGTAGTAGGAGTAATGAATAATGTAGAAAATGTAAGAGAACATGTTAATGTTTGCAAGAGACGATAAACAATATAAAAAAAGCGAGGGAATTTCAGTATTTATAAGGACAAACTTACTCAAAAGAAAAGTGTCACAAACTTTTAAATACATCCTAAAAGGAAAAGTGTAAGAAAGTTTAAAAAGTACATCAAAAAAAGTTTTATGAGACACAATAATTGTACTATCAAGTTAATTCATTGTCACATAGAGTTATTGTCACACCTTATCTTTTATTTTAAAGTTACTGCAGTTTTTTATACGATCCAAATTTACTTTTTTTTACAGCTACTACTATGTAGATAATTAATAAAAATTACAATACATAAACTTTATCGTGTTTTTTATTTGGCAAAGTTACATATTACATACCATTATAAAATATAATTTTAAATAAGTTACTATTCAAGTCAATATATGCGCAGTGCATCACACGGGTACTTCGCGTATTTTATATTGAAGATGTTACTTGCATTGCTGTGGGTTGTGGTATTTACTTTTAAGTGTTGGGATCTTAACTTGTGTGAATTTATATTATCAACAGAAAATAATTTTTTGTATTTAAAAAGTTAAAATAATGTTTCCTAAAATGTGTTTTTTGCTTAAATCACACACTATAAGTTTATTATCAAATTATATTTAATTTATTTCGTTGTCACATTGAAATATTGTTATACATCATCATTTATTTTAATAGTAATGGGTCTTATGTGAGAAAACCTCATTACAATTTTGGATTACATCTTGTTCTTTTATAAAGGGAAATTGCCATGAATAAGACTAAAAACGTTTTGCATATTCCAAACTAAGGCTATAATGTTTTTATTCAATATATATATAAGAGTAATTATTATCAAGTTTGGAAAATATTGTTACTATACGTTTAAAGTCACTTATAGCCAAAACATGACAGTAATTACTCCTATATAGTGAATAAAAACACGACAGATCTATTTTGGAATTGACAAACATTTTTACTCCTATTTAGGGAAATTTCCCTTTATAAAAATAAAGATTATAAGAAATAATATTGATAATAATACTATAATTGTAGATCGATGACTAAATTATAAGGAAGTTATCTTAAATAGGAGTAAACATGTTTTAAATAGGAGTACTTTACATGTCTTTCTTTCTAAAATAGGAGTTCTTATTGCAATGAATGAAAAAAACTATCATTAATGACAATATATATTGTCATGTCAATGCCTAGTATTGTAACTATTTTGACAGTAAAAAGTCGAAAATGACAACTATTCTGGTAAACAAATATAGTAGTCATATTTTGGAATTCCAAAACATGTTTACACCTATATTGGGAATTTTCTCCTAAATTATACACCTTCCGTTTCACTCAACTTTGAAAACTTTTCTTTTTTGTTTGCTCCAAAAAACTTTATAACTTTTATTTTAGACAATGAAGCAACTTGTTTCTCTCTCTTGACAAACCCTAATCTCATAATTTCTACTTTTATTATTTCTCACATATTTTGAACCTGGCAAAGTTCACCGGAATAGAGGTAATATACTTTCTTTGCCGCATAAAATTCTTCTCACTTATCTTTGGGATGTCCCATAAAATTCTTTCCATTTCTGTTTTTGGAAAGTTTTGCGTGGCTAACTTTATTTACTTTTTCTTACCCGATCACACAACTTTAAGTATAATGGTAGTAATTATAATCAATGAATAATTATAATCATTTAAATACTTTAATTACACAACATAATTAACGGAGTTGTTAATTTAGTAGGATTTTTTGTTAAATATAGTAGTCATATTTTGGAATTCCAAAACATGTTTACACCTATATTGGGAATTTTCTCCTAAATTATACACCCTCCGTTTCACTCAACTTTGACAACTTTTCTTTTTTGTTTGTTCAAAAAAATTTATAACTTTCTTTTTTCTAATTTAGTTTTTTCTTCAGTTAATTTGTTTTCTTTTAATTTGTTGAAATCATAAATTGTGATCCGGTTACCTAAACTAAAAAATGCAAGTAGTTAATGTGCCTTTTAAAATCAGGCTACGTGCCACCTTTTGAATAAGCTTTTGTTTTTTATTATTAAAAAAATTAGATATAGTTAATGTGCAAATATTTACCAAAGTTAGGGTCTATCTACTTCATATTCTTTCGTTACGTACATGGTATCTATTTTGGGTGGGATTTTTCCCTCCAATTGTTGCTCCACTCTTTTACTTTATAGTATATAAAGATAACTACAAAAAAAGTGGAAATCTTTTACTATATTGTAGATACCGGGAACATACGAGTATTGTAGAATACAAATGCTAGAGGAGTACACTCTATATAAAGCCTTCCCAAAGTTTTACCTCCACACCTTCCATTCTTCTATCATACGAACTGTTCATCTTCTTTCTTTCTTTCTTTCTTTCTTTCTTTCTTCCTTCCTTTCTTTCTTTCTTTCTATAATTTCTTTCTTTCTTTCTATAATTTCTTTCTTTCTTGTGTTTCTATTTCTTCTTCCTCCTCCTCCTCCTTCATTCCTTTATGTTTCATTCAAACTCCATCTTCACACGTACTCTTCTTCCATCACCATCTTTGCATTTACTTTGAAATAATTGGAAAGCCGTTGGAAAGTTACCGGAAAATTAGAGACGTCATAATTTTTGTCTGTGTGATATGTAAATAGTGTTTGTGTCATGTTGAATAATGATATATATTATCTATAACGAAAGATGAAACTAAAAAACAAGTAACATTTTATAAATTGTTGTCATACACAAAAAATATATGCATGCAGACACAAGCAAAAATATTATAAAAATTCAAGGTTAGATTGCACAGAAACAAATGTTTGTACACAGAAACGAAAAATGCATATGAACAAACACTTTTTGTTTGTATAAACTAATAATGACTGTGCGCACAGACACTGATTTTCGTGCAAGTAAAAAAAAGTACACCGCTAGTCAATGTGATTTACATGCAAATCAATGTTTGTGTACACAAACATTAGTTGTCAGTGTGTAACATTTTTGTTTGTGTACTCAGACAACTTAACCTTGATATATTAGTTGTCTATACTTATACATTTTTTGTTTGTGTATACAGACATTGATTTCTATATACCACATAACCTTCACTTCTTTGCAATATTTTTGTATGTGTACACATACACTGATAGAAAACCAGTGTTTGTATACATACCTTTTTTCTATGATGAAGTTTTACACAGTGTTGTTAGTTTTTCAGTTTCATTTTTTTCAAAGAGACATATTATATCACTCTCAACGACTTCAACCCTGGTTATTTCGCGACGACACTTTCGGTGACTACATGTCCAATGATAATGATGTAGATGAGATAAAAGATGACACAATATGAAATGGTGAAGATGAAAGCTAATAAGGAAAGAGATGAATAAGATGAAAATGGTGAAGATGAAAAATGTTGAATATGGAAATGAAAAGATGGTAAATCAAAATGTACACCAAACATTTTTATATCCTAGAATATCTTATTATCGAAAGGGAAAATTATACAAATAGTACCAAATGATACAAAGTTTCTAAAAATAGGAGTCAAAATACGAGTAGTACATAACTGCAAAGATATTGACATTTATACCCTTCATTTTAAAACTCTCGCGCCACGTGTACGTTTCAGTCGCTCAACATTAAAATTTCCCTAATCGGTAAAATAACTTCTTCCGCATTTCAACGAAAGCTCAAACGGAAAAAATTTTCTGCTTCCGATCTTCAACCTTCTTCAACGAGCAAGCACGAGTGACGAAGGAGTCAGTAAATTCGACGAACAAATGGCGAAGAGAAAGAAGAACTCAGAGGCTGAAAACGATGAAATCGGGGAAGAAGTTGATGCGGGTTAATCTGATAGTGATTTCGAAACGAAGAAACCGAACAAATCAGAGGATCAAAACATTCAAAACGTTGAAATTGTTCTTCCGTCTGGTCAGGTATGATGTTCAATTCAATAGTTGGATATCATGTTAAAGTATGCATATGAAATTGTCTACTTCTCTTACTGTCTATTTCTCTTGTGAAATCATCAAAAATTCTGTATGAATTATTGATAATCATTAAATGAGTAGTTGTCGTACAGTTTGTAATTGATACTTAACCAAATAGAATTTTCCAGTTTCTATCCAAGTAGTCATTAATAGATTTGGTCATGTTTGTATAATTTTCCATTGATAGTATAACTACTTCTCTTACTGACTGTCTATATGTGTGAGGAATTATATGTGTGAGCTAGACATTGTGTATATAGAGCATTTGGATTTATATGGTTAATCTAATTAGAGCATCTCCAATGCTATAATGTGCACGGTGCACATGTGGCATGAGTGATGGGCACATAAATATTAGCAAATAAATTATCTTTCTCCTTATTTGAATGATTTCATACAATTTTGGTAAGTTTTTCCCTGCAATGTCAACAACAATGTCAACATCTAGACGGTCTCCTTGACATTGTAGAGAAAAACTTACCAAAACTGTATAAAATCATTCAAATAAGGAGAGAAAGAATTTATTTATTAATATTTATGTGGCTATTTCTCATATCACGTGTGCACCGTGCACATTTTACCATTGGAGATGCTCTTAGGTCTTATTTTAGTAAAAAGACTATGAAAGGGTCTTATTAGGGACAATTTTTTCTTATCGAAAACGTTTTTGATACATTAGTACTTTAATCAAGTATTGGTGCGAAATAGGTTCCAACTAAACAACAATACATCCGATTGCTCTAGATCTGCATAACGTCACGGCATGAATCCCGTTTACACGAGCGGGAGTTCCACGGCTATAGAATTGACGGCGTTAAAATAAATGGACCATCTCACAACTGGATGTGCCAAATAACAATAAAGACCCCAATCCGATTCGTCCGATTCAATCAACAGTATGTCAGTATCCTCCTCATAATCATCACTATCTTCCCTCTCTCTAGCAAAAAAGTCCAACAGAAGAAGAACAAAGGTAACATTCTCTGAGCCTGCTGCAGCGATATTCGCGTACCATACGATATACGGACAAATTAATCAATTCAACACGAATTTTGATCCGATTTGCAGAATTCACATGCGGTGTTCATTGTTGAGCGAGAATTAGTCTCACAGTTTTCGTGAAAGAAGCTAGGAACATCGATCAAATAGGACATTGACGGATTCAAGTGCGTGCGTAGACTGTAGAGGAACATTTTGTGAGGATTTGATCACATGAAGAGATTGATCTCAGTTGAAGGAGGTTGAGAATCAATGAAGAGAGATCAAGAGGTTACAGATGGATTTGGCACGAGAGGGAAGAACTGGAGGAAGATAGCAGGTGGAGGAGAATGGAAGCTTTCTACGGCCTTGATTCAGCCGAAACGTCGTCGGAAAACACCACCAGCAGTCACACCGAGAAATGCATTTTCTCCGTCTAGCTCCAAGTCGGATCACGTTCATGACATGCCGTGTGTGTGTGGCTATGATCGGAGCGAACTCACCCAGGAAAGCGTGAACTTATCAGATCTAGATGTCCGTTAACCCTCAGTCCCTCACCTACTTCGATTTGTTGCGATTTTACCTAGTGATGAATGAAACATCCTTTTCAGTCATCGGAGTTGATTTCCATGTTTTTTTTTTCAACTTTAGAGTCATTTTTAAACTTCTTATGCAGGAAGAAAAGGATGAAGGTGTTACGACGTCAAAGCGGAAATTCGATGAGACTGGAAAGAGGTAAATTTCCACCAAGTGCTATTTAATTAAATTTCATAATTATGTGAGATCAAATTGAATCCGATGAGTGACGTCGTTCTGCAGCGTTGAGACGCCGCCGTTGAGGGAGTACGAAGAAAAACAGGGGGAGCTGGAGTCGACGGCGACTCTGCCAGAAGACGAAGCAACTTCTCTTGATAAGAATCTTACGAAATCAACACCTGAAAAGATACCGTCCGGAGAGGAACTGGAAGCCTTTTTTTCTGTGGCCGAAAGAAAAATCCAGAAGCAATTTGCAGAAAAGTAGGCGTACTTTTTAATACAGCAGAATTAAAGTCATTATGATTTGTTATTACACCATGACCTGTGTTTTGCCCTTTTTCTTTTGGGTCCCTTTGGAAGGTAGAAAATGGCAGTCTTTTTTCAAAATAGGAGTAGAACATACTCTTCTATTCTCATTTAAGCAATTTTCTCAAAATGCTATCAGTAAACGGTGGATTTGGAGCTCGATTGGTAATTTGTTCAAGACCAGACTAGTCCAAACCAGACCAGACTTGCGAAGTTATAAAAATACAAAGAAATCAGACCAGATCAAACTAGACCAGACTATCAAATTACAGTCCAAGTAAAACATCCTATAATTTTGATTTCATACACTGAAATCATTTTTAGAAATAAGAAATTTGTTGAAAAAGTAGTCTATTTTAGATTTTTTTTCAAATTTTGCATTAACTTTGTGTTAAATCTATTTTTTCATAATTTATTAAATTTGGTCAATTCACTTCTAGTTTCAACAATTTCAATTGAAGGAATAAAATATTGAAGGTATATGCTTATTTTATCATTGCGTACTTAGGATGTTTTCTTTTGCATTGTTTTCAGTCCCAGACCAAACCAGATCAGACCAGACTTAAACAGACCAGATCATACTAGACCAGACTTGGATAGTTATAAAATACACAGAGACCAGACGTTTACTAGCTAGACCACATCAGACCAGACCAGACTTAAACAAACCAGACCAGATCAGACCAGACCAGACCAGCAAATTTCAGTCCAAAAGAAAACATCCTTATATACTTCTAATTACTACTATGTCTCATACGGAGTATTGAACTTTAATAGATCAAACTAGATTATTATTAGTAGCATACACACCACATATTTTTACCAGATAATACGGAGTATAAGGAAATTTTATACTAATAAAATATGCTGAGTCTAATTAGATGTGATTTGATTTATTATGAAACTCAAACAAGACTTATTGAAAACATACTACGTAGTGAAATATTGGGGAAGTTGAAATTTGTTTCAAGATCCATGAATGTATTCTTAAATAATTGAACATTATTTATGGTGTATTAACAGTTTATTCATTTTCCCGAGTCCTGTTTTAGTATTGCATTATTGCACAACTCATGAATATGGTTTTATTTTATAGGTATAATTTCGACATTGTCGAGGACAAACCACTAGAGGGTCGGTACGAGTGGGATCCGTTACAGCCGTGAAGACATTGTCGACGGAAATCGGCCGTACAGCAAGATCTAATTACTTCGAATTCTTACTTTACTCTTGGTGGTGGCGTCAACAAAGTACTTTAATTTCAACGAGTATTTATATAGAAAGTTGATGGCTATTCTTAGGAATTAGGATTTTTTCAGTTTCTTGTTTGGGTGATGTATATATATGGTTAAGTCTTAAACTACTTTATCTCTTTTTAATTCTTCGACAGAAATGAAGAATTAACCCTTCATGCATTTCAAGGTACATATCAATGCATTCTGTTATTATTATCCAATGTATATACGGAGTATTAGACAAGTATTCTGTATTGAATTATGATCATTAATTAAATATTAGTAGATTCTATGGTACCCATAAGGTACCATACCTTTGTCCACATGGACCAATTAGAATGTTGCAGTTGAATTATTTAAATCTAAATTAAAAATGATATATCTATTTGGACCAATCAAGTGAATGATAGGTACGGTACCCAATTTTTTAAATGGGTACCGGAGTTCTCACCTTCAATATTTTACGATTTCATCCTTTAAGATGGCAAACAAAACTAGAAAATTTCTGTTTATGCTAGTATTAAAATTAGCTGAATTCATAGAACCTCTTAAAATTGATGAATGATGAAATTCTGGATGAAAGTTGTTGAATTGGCTAAATCTGTTGAATTGTAAAAAAAAAAAGTTAGGGAAAATGGAAACTAATAATCCAACCTTTTAGCGGTCTTCTTACAATAGTTTCACCTTTTGATTATTCATGAATAATCCAACCTTTGCACCTCATCTTCATTCACTGGTTCCTGACCGGTTGATGACCTACTATTCCAAGTTATTTTCTTATCTTTGCAAACCATTATACCATAAATCTCACCTTTCACAAAGATAATATTTTGCAAAGATAAGAAAATAACTTGGAATAGTAGTTCATCAACCGGTCAGGGACCAGTAAATGAAGATGAGGTGCAAAGGTTGGATTATTCATGAATAATCAAAAGGTGGGACTATTATAAGAAGACCGCTAAAAGGTTGGATTATTAGTTTCCATTTTCCCAAAAAGTTATATACTTCAAAATATTTGTCAATGAAAAATCACGAAAAAATAATCGTATGGAGAATGAAAAATAGTGAAAATAATTGTATACTACGGTAATTTCAGTTAATTTAATTAGTTAGAAAAGTAATTTCAATTTTATTTAATTTTATTACTAGTATTACACAATTCAATACGCGAAACAAAAAAAATTATATACTTGGTATTTGATATAAAATTGTCTAATAAAATTGATAAGCAGAAATAAGAGTTGTATGTGATAGAGGCTTTAGATCCTTCGATTTCTATTTGATATTCTAGTCCTGTGTTCAATTGTGCAAAAATATGATTGTCGTTTGGTCACTGATGAAATATGTATATTGGTTGATTCTCTATAACAGCATGTCCATGGTCTTTATTTTTTATACCCGAGGGAAGGTTGGGGAGTCGGTAGTAAAGAGAGCTGGAGGAGTCTGGATGACCTTCCGTGTGAAAGAGTGAGTTGGGGACCAATTGAACTAGATTGCTTCTTCTGTCGATTCATGGTCTAAAGTCTTACTATCTCCGTCCCAAAAAAAATTGTCAATTCCAAAAATTTGAACCTTAATTTTGATTAGTATAATATTATGTAAGTTATAAATTTTATATTTTTTAAAGTAATTTTAACAAAGAACATTTTCATATAACTTCCATATTACGGAGTATAAATCATTTTCTATAAAAAGATATAGCCGGTCAAAGTTTTGAAAATGAGAAAGTTTTTTGCAACGGAGGTAGTATTAAATTAAATGTTCGCAGAAGATAACTGATATACAAATCACATGATTCATATCATATTTAAATACTACGGGGTAGTAGTTTTAATAGTCTAAGAGCATCTTCAATGGTACAATGTGCACGGTGCACACGTAGCATGAGAGATGACCACATAAATATTAGTAAATAAATTATTTCTCTCTTTATTTGAATGATTTTATACAGTTTTGGTAAGTTATTCTCCACAATGTCAAGGAGACCGTCTAATGTTGACATTGTTGTTGACATTGCAGGGAAAAACTTACTAAAATTATATAAAATCATTCAAATAAAGAGAGAAATAATTTATTTGCTAATAATTATGTGGCTATCACTCATGACACATGTGCATCGTGGACGGCTAAATCAAGCAAATATGACACAATGTCACAATGTGTATGATAGAAAAAGCTAGATTTAAGTAGATAAGTATAGATAGAATTATTATTCAAGTAAATTAATCCAAAATATAATATAAATCAAACTTTTGTACACTTTATGTTACACACTTACATGAACACGGATCATGGGCATTGAGATGAGAATATGACAAGTTAGGTCTTACAAGTTTTAGAAATTATGGGTATGTTTGGCACAACTAGCTAAAAAGATAATTTTACGAGCTTTTTAGTAACTGTTAGCTTTTAGTGACTGAAAAGATCTTAAAAAGAAAATGTGATAGCTGTTTGGTAAAAAACTGACTATTTGATTTAGTTTGGTTTGGTATACAAGCTGTTAGGACTAATTAATACTAAAAGTCACGAGCTTTTCTCAGATGCTACACCCGGTAGCATCTAAAAAAAGATCTTTTAATTTTTGAAAAGCTCTTAAAAAATGTCATACCAAACATACAACTAAAGTCTTTTAAGGTCTTTTTAAAGAATAGAAAAGCTAGAAGCTAGAGCCTTTTGTGTGCCAAACATAGCCTATATTTGCCACTTTTGTGCACAGTTGGAACTTTTTCAAATCACAGGTCCCTCAAACAATTGAAGCGCCAAGATTCACAATTCATTTCAACTTGTAAAGCCGTTTATGGTGTTTGTCACGTACTTTCGTGCTTTCATTTTGGACGTTTGTCAACGTGAAATGGGTTTTGTACATTTATTTAAAAAAAATACATACGTATAATGATTTTGTTAAATTAAATATTCACATTGGAATATAATACACCTGAAATGATTGTGTCACAACTATAAGAAGATTTTTGGCCTTAATATGATTGCATTGTACGTTACATAATTTCATTAATTAGAACTATTTTTAGAAATTATTAGCACTCCGCAGTCTGTACTAGTTTAATCAATTGTTTCTTTAAGTTTATCTAATGTAAATAAATAATCCTGAAAATAGGAGTAGAAGCGTTTGAGAATATATCAAAATAAGATTATCATATTTTTATTTCATAAATATGAGTAAATACTGTCAATTACTGTAAAATTTTAAAAAATATTATCATATTTTATTATCATATTTCTGGTAATATCAAAATATTATAGTAATTACTCATATTTATTAAATAAAAAACATGTCAATCGTGTTAGGGTGATATTACTTTTACTTCCTAATTTTCGACTCCCTCCGTCCCGTTGAGATGTTCTCGCTTTCCTTTTTTAGCGGTCCCAAAAAGAAGGAAAGTTATCCTACATCAAAACATTGTCAAACATTGCAAAACAGTGTCAAACAATGTCAAAATAGTAAAATTTATTCTCTGGTAAGTTTATTTCTTTAATATGTGTGTAGGTTAAACCGTGAACTGTGAACATTTCAACGGGACGAAGGGAGTATATCATTGAGCATAACTTAACTTTTGAAACCATAAAGCTCAAAAATAAAAATTTACGATCCTAGGTATCTCTGTCTTAGATGAAGAGAAGGTACCAAAACAATAAAAAGAAGGTATCACATCCCACGTCGGAGGTTTTGAATTCTTGTGACAAAAGTTAAATATTACAAAAAGTCTATTGTTACACACATTTTACACACACATACACACTATAAATACTCCCTAAAAAAATTTACCCCCTTCCTCTTCCCAATCACACGTAGCTAAAAAACCCCAAATCCGATTTTTTAAAAAAAAAACCCTCCCCTTGCACGCATCCCTTCCTTCCTCTAGCCATTGACGATTCCGCTCTCTTCCCTTCATCTCTGCAACCGGCGAGCCTCTGCCAAGCTCTCACCAACCCGGCGGCGTTCGTCCCCCTTACCCGGCGGCGTTCGTCCCCCCCACCCGGCGGCAGTCGTCCCCCCACCCGGCGGTGTACGTCTCTGAACGAAGCGGTCGAAGAACAGCCGGTGCAACAGGCGGTGAAACGATCGTTCTTCCCCAGCCAGTTGTCCCGTGCAACCGGCGCTGCTTAATTGACAAAGAATGGTGCGAACCTCACTTTCTTCAATGGCCTAAAGGTATGGTCCTCTATTCTTGAAATTTTTAGTGTAGATATAGTTGATGATGTTTATTTGGAGGGTGAAGCAAGATTGTTTTGTTTAGCATGTTTTCGAACCCCATCTAGTGCTTGGATTTTGAACCATACACAAATATCAATTTATTTGTGCTTTGTGTGGGGATATGTCATGTGGGGATATGCATTGTCTGTGTAAGGTTGATTTTATGCCTGTTGAAGGACATATATATTGTCTGTGTGAAGATTTTGTGTAGTTATTTGTCTGTGTGAAGTTATATGTAAAAGGATGTGCCTCCATTGTCTGTGAAGAGTTATATGACTGTCTGTACGACTCCACATATGTCTGTGTGTGTTATATGATTGTCTGTGTGACTACTAAAACAGGTCCAAATGAAAAATTTCTAGGTCTTTTGGAAAAGTAATGATTTTTCCAATTTATTTTAGAATTGTGGAATGTCGGGGATCAAATTCCTTAAAATAGCTTGATTAATTTGGACCTCGGGTACCTTAAAATAATGCGGATTATTTATTTTGTAGTTTTATTAAAAATGTTAAGCGACCTTTTACTCGGTCATTAAAATCTTACACAGTATGGTCTATGATATATTGTTTGAACACCGCTTGACACAAACACTAATAGACACTCTATGCTATTAACAGAATTCAAGTGGGTCAAAAGAACTTGGGTTAAACTGCATTAAGAAATTGGACTCCATATCCCAATCTATTAGGTAGTAACTCAAGTTCATTTTGGGGATATGTCATTACTTTCTATGTATTGTCTGTGTAAGGTTAATTTGATGCCTGTTGAAGGACATAAGTATTGTAGCATCGTCCCCAAATGTATTTACTTTTAAGTGAATAATGTATTGAACCTTGTGGAATAATTAATGAGTATACGAAGTTGTGAATTTTAATATTTCTTTTGCGGGAATAGTAAATTCGCACGCGGGACCCACACTGGGAGCGGGGCCGCCCGATATTCCCGAGACCGGATATTTTATTCAGCTTGGTCGAAATAATATTTATATAGAGGTGGAATGTTTATTTGGTCCAAAGGAATGACATAATGTGGACCGATTGGTCAAAAACGGCTCAATTACCGATATTGGTAATTTAACCGATAAAAGCCCGAAATTTGGATTTCGGGGACCTATAAATTAAATTGGAAAATGTATATTCATTATAAGGGTCATAATGGTCGAGAACGCATAAAATATTTTATTTGACCCGATAAAATA